AGAGAATTTATAAAGAAATCTATTAAAGTTTAAAGTAAGATTTTTTTTCCCAAAAAATGACTTCAGAATGTGAAACTCAGCAAAATGAAAACATTTAATCATCATTTCTATTTATAAGTAGGTTTTCATGACCGTAATCAGCTTGATATAAATATTGAGGAAAAAAAGAGTAAGCGAAGTTACACATATACTTATATTTTAAATAAGACATATTCTACATGATAGAATAGAAAAAATATTTTTTATTATTGTTACTTCTCCCAGACCTAAATAGTTCATAAAGTAACACTTAATACAATCCTACATTTTATCTGCATTACATTTGTCATGGTATTTTTGAATTATGAATTACTTCATCTGAGAAAATAGCCTGCACCTTTTGCTGCTATATGAAGAAGCAAAAGTAACTCACATTTTGCATTTACTATAAAACCCAGATTATATGAAGGTTTTCCTAGCCATCTGAAATCAAAGAGTACTCATTATTTGATCCATTATTCAAAATCTTAATTTAATAAAAGTCCAACATTTTAGGACTCAAGAACTTTCAAAGTTCAATAGAGAGTTGTTTACAAATACCTGAGGTAGTACTGATTTATGATAACCACCAAGCTATTCCCACTTGACTCAATGCTGTAATATGATGAAGTACTAGTTCAGGTTCTGAGTGCTGCATTTCCCTAAAAAATACATGCTGCTTATTATTTGCTTAGATACTGCTTGGTGACGCAATTCTGTACTAACCTACATTGAATAGGCAGGACTAACGATTCATTTAAATCTGGAGTATATAAAATATTGCCAGAACAGATCTTTCAACTTTCTATGATAATTGTGGAAAATATTTTAACTATAAACACTTATTCTAATGCAAAACCAAACAAATCAAGAAGTCACTTTAATGTCACAATATTGAAATGAAGTCATTTCTTTTAAATTTACCAGGAGTCATATTATATATTACTTCATCACTAAAGAATAGATTTTTTCTTCACTCTGAGACATTAAATTGGCTGACAATATAGCACAAGAAGGCATTGCTCATCCTTTCTTGAAGGTCACATACAAGGGAGTGTAAAAGCACTCTGTCTGCTTGGCAGTACAAAGGTTAAACCCTCTATGACCCCCAAAATATACATTTCTGTAAATACAGATGGCCAGTAGAGGCCACCTGTAAAAAATATGATTCTGCTTTTTTGTAGCTTTACTAAATCCTCTTACACTGTGAAGAGCAAAGCATCAAGCTTATGTTGCTTCAGCTTTCACTTACAGAGGCTATGGCAATCTAACTCATCTAACTAAATCTGTTCCCAGGTAGGGTTGAGCAAACCCCATAGTTAAAGCTGATTTATGTCAAGTCAAGCCAAGCCTGCATTCATGTTTACCATATTCTGGTCACTTAATGATGATGCAATTTTAGTGGATATGAGAAATATTATTTTTCATAACTATTATAGAATTAATATTAATAATATTCTTATATTAATATTTATAACTATTTAATAGAGTTTTGCCTTATTTCATTAACTTCCTGTAGGAGACACAAGGCTGACAGCAGATTTTTATAGTAAGAAAAGAACTGCTGTCATTTAGAGGACACTATTTACGAAAAACATAAAGGAAACATCCAGATGTGATCCCTATTCTAGAAGTATTATACTCAAAGGAGTCTATTCATGCAGCTTTATTATCATTGATGGTAAGATTTTGCCCAAATTAGAGTAAATCAAATGCTTACTTAAAGGGCACTTTGGACTGCAGGCCTTTCACTTTGAAGTCCACTGCCAATACTGAAGGCAAGGAAAGGCACCTCCCTCCCAGCTGCCCGAAAATAAAGCCACAGGATTGACAAAGATAAGGCAGGGATGCAAGGAACACAGGCATCTGTGTGCCCTGCCTCTGGTGGGAAATGGGGAAAGAAACAAATAAAGAAGATTCATCCTGTCAGGTTGCATCGCAAGGTGAAAAACTGATCAAAGAGGTTTGCTTAATGTGGTGGATAAGGAGTGACTGAGGAAAACTGTAACAGCTGTTCATGGACACACAAGGATAAATCTGACACCACACTGTACCTCAGAGGGTTAGACTTGGTTTGAAAAAAATAGCCTTCTTTCTGCCATAATTCTTTGGTCTCTTTCAGTCTCACAGGACACAGGTAGTTCTTTTCAAAGGCCTATGCTAATCTGAAGTATGCCCACTATGAGCAAGCACAGTTTACTTAATCAGCCAAAGTCTTGAGATCGGGTGGGGAGACTAGCAGTAGTTTTTTGATTACTGTGAAAATCAACCAATGTTGTTGGCAGACACAGTTGTATCAATTTCCCAGCAAATAGATTGTGATTGTTTTTTCCTTGATAGAAGGAAGAAGAAAATTGTTGATGAAACATACAACATTAAAAAAAAATTTAGCAACAACAACAACAACAACAACAACAAACAGAAGATGATTTTAAGTTCTCTAAGTCAAATTCTTGACATTTGGGATATATTCAAAACAAATTCATCCATGATTCATCCACCTAATCTTTCAAAGAGCTGAAACCCTGTAAAGATCCCTTTTCATAAAATGGAACATCTTTTCATCACATAAAATATGAAATATCCCCACTATTTTGGCTGGTAAGCAGTCAAGAAAAAAAATAAAAAGAGAGAAAAAAGAAGCTAATTAAAAAGAAAATGGACACAAAATAAATTTCAAAAGGTCAATAAAGTTCAAAAGGTTCAAATGATGTAAGCTTATCATGAACTGATAATTTCACCCAGTTTGTTAGAAAGCTGAATGACAACAAATCCATATACGTAGACTACCAGTGACAGAAAGGACTGCATGCAAAAAAAACGGATGCAGAAAAAGAGATCAAGTGCTAGAAAGTAAGTCTATGAGAATCCCACTAGTGGAATATGCCTCTTTCAGAAGATCTACAAGGATTGTAGTTTAATGTCTGTATTCCTCATAAAAATGGAAGTTTTGTTCTGAATTACAAATGTTGACAAGGACTGCAGGCAAAATATTGGTAATTTTCTCATAAAACATAAATTATCTCTCATTTCCTTAAATGTCCTCAGAGATACCCCAACTTCAGTTAAAGCAAAACTACCCCCTCAAAGACAATCTATTATGAAATTCCCTCCAAATGAGCATGCATACAGACCAAACTGTGAGTTAAGGAAGTTTATCACCTCACCTGTCATATTACAGTATACAAGAAATGGTCCCAAGGGGCCACTTCCATCTGAATCAATATTGTAAAAGCCTGAAGTATTCCCTCTGTGCTTATAGGCTTCACATGACTGCTCATAGATGGCTGCAAAAGAACATATTCTATCACAAACATAATGGCATCATTTTACATTTTATTCACTGAAGGGGAAAAAAAAAAAAAAAACTTCATAGGCCTGTGTATGAGGAAAAGAGGCAGTGTTTGTTCAGAGCTAAAGAAAACAGAAGAAATCATACAATTAAAACTATACATTTTATCTATTTTTTAAGGAACATTTGGCTTTCTTAAAGGGGAGATCTAAAAGGGCCTTCCCAAGTGTTTTCTTCTGTATTTCAAAATAGAATTTTGAGGCAGCAAATAGCATAATGAACTATCGCAGCTGAACAAGATTTTTTCTTATTACATACAAGAGAAGGCAAGCAGTATTTCCAGATGTTCTAGTTGGCTCCTGGCATTTTTTGGCTTGTGCGCTTCTTATTTTCAGATAAAAGGGCAAACAACTTGTTAGGGACTACAGAGAATGAACTGAATCAGCAAAGACAAAATTACAGCTCCTCAGTCCATGTCACGTATACTTTATATCAGTTAAGAACTGATGAAAAGTCTATAATAATTTTTTATGATAGAAACCTGGGCAAGGGGGCTTCTGTATTCTCTTTTGTAATCTACAGAAAGATTATTTCAGAGTAACTTGTTGTTCAGTCAATCCATTGTTACTGAGCTCTTGTTCATGCTCTCTCTTTTTAAAATAATGTCCATCTTCTGTCCATCTGTTAACTGTCATCAAAACTGGAAAAGGCACTGCCAAAAAGAATCCGCCACTACCTTCAAAAAAATCTACAGAGACTACTTAGATAATAACACAACTAACTAAGGATTATGCATAGCTGAGAAGATTTTTATCTATACAAATTTGATGTATTAAAAAATACTAAAGTAAACCAAAAGAGGTGCTGTTTTAAGAAGCTAGTGTTTGGATAAGTGCTATTTCTCTGTAATTTTTGGCTGATGATTACTGACGCTATGTCGTGTTCCACATTAAAACTTCTAGATCTATTTGAAATGAAACAAAAGGGATTATATTGGGATACATGTTGGCCATTTTGCCTTTTGTCCCAGAATGTGAATGCACAGAAGATTTTAGAAACATGACAATTCATTAAGTAATATTTCCAGATCAGTAACTTACTTCTAACCTTGTAACTACAAGAATATTTGAACATTTGAGAACCATATTTTATTATAGAAGTCATACAGCTGAATGACAGTATGGATTAAAAAAAAAAGTGACTTAATTTGAAATCATTATTAAAATCATTACCATCAAATAGTAACAGGATTATATTTTATACCCATAAAACAGCAATCTAACAACAAGATAAGCAACCCAGAAAAATTAGGTATATATTTTTCAAAACCAAAAACCTCTAACCTCTTTGCTTTAACATGAATTTTGTACAAAAAGTTCCAATCACCTGGAGGATGGCTTCCATCTGTGCTCATGGATGTCACCAAATTTTGAATACACTTTTTTTTTCCCCAAATTATAGTGAACGAAATCACATTCATCTTCACTTTGGGAGTACGATGGATTTCTACCACTCCCTGTGATATTCATAAGCATCTATACTATTTATGTATTTTTCCTGATATGAAGATTTACTTTTTCTTTAAAACGTTATTTATGCCACTGAATTCTTTACAACTCACATAGTATAAAACAAGTAGATACTGTTGTTGCCCCATAAAAATATTTTAACAACACAGTCTTTTTGGAGTCAGTGATTTTTCAAAATATCCCAGTATACAGAGATATATTCTTTTCATAAAATATGCCAACAAAAAATTATAAATTGTGTAAGGAAATTTTTCTTTGGGCATATTTATTCATCTTTTTAATATGATAATGAGGGCATTTTTTAATATCTATACATTTTTAATAAGGATTTATACTTATTCTGAGTATATATAATCAATGCTAGGGTTTATTTATTCTGCTTCCCAGAACATGCTTAAAGCAGTACAAACATGGAACATGAACTGTAAAATTAGTTGAATAACTTTTAATTAGTTTAACACAAAGATCAAAGTACAGTCATAGCACTGAGCAGATTAATGACATGACTTTGTCCACTTCTCTTTTCTGAATATGTCTCCTAAGTTTTCTTTTTTTTTTCTTGAAAGAGCTTTTACCTAAATGCAATATCAAATTTTGTGAAAGATAGTTAAGTGATGCCCTCAGAACTGCCAACTTCTTTTTTATTTATGCCAGCTTTGCTTCAACCATTCTGTGCCACATGCTCTGGGTGACCCTGCGTGTGCGGGGGGGTTGGGCTAGATGATCTCTAAAGGTCCCTTCCAACTTAATGATTCTGTGATTCATGCAGTGATCCTACTGCAACCTTCTCCTAATCTATCCCTGATTCAGCAAATTATATAAACATAGACTTAAGGCTTAGCATGTGAGGATCTTTACACAGGAATATAGTTCCATTGTCTTTAAAAAAGCATATATATACCATATATGTATATTATTTGTTGGGATGAATACAGTGGAACTAAACACATTCCTAAATGATGTACTGACTCAAAGAGCAGATTTTTATCACCAGAAGAGGAAAATAGTGACCCACTTATCTAAATAATGAAAAATATGGATCAGAAAGAGATACCCACTAGATCTTTCAGTAAAAATTTGATTTCTCAAGGCCTACATAACTGATCCTGTAATACACATGATGAGCACAAATGCATATTCTTGGAGGAGAAAATTATTAGCTGGAGGCAAAAATGCAGCCAGAAAATATCTTACTCACAATAATGGCAAGTAGCTCCTTTGTAACCAGTATTGATACAACTGCAATAGAAACTGTTCCAGGATTGTGAGCACTCACCACCATGTTCACAGTAATTAGGCAAACACCTATACGAAAAAACAAACATATTCACTCTTTTCCTTATTCTGACACTGCACCGACATTAATTTAATACTACAGGCATATCAGGGAAGATGTCAATGTGACTATTAGAAAATTAACTAAAGAAAATTTCCCTTCATATTCTCCACTATTCCTATTAACTATCATAAATATATTAATTATTCAATAAACCTGAGAAAACTGAAACAATTAAAGTGTAACGTGCAGAATTATTCCCTACCCTTAATCAACTAACAATAATTTAATACAAATTTATAAAACAATGAAAAATTTGCATGCTGGTAACTGTATGGGAAGTTTTGTGACATATGTGATTTCAACAGGATGAATCACAACAAGGTAGTGTCATAGCATGCTTCTATTCTAAAAATGCCAGAAAAATACAAAATGATCACAAAACACATGCAACTGACCATCTCTCCTCAGAGTTATTTCCTGTTCTAAAATGGTGACTATTTCTGACTCCAGTTTATTATTTTGAACCAAGTCTAGAGAGGCTATAAGTCTAAGGAAGCTTGGATTTGAGGAACAGACATGAACTTTAGGCACTGGACTTAAATTCACTTTGGCATTAAGTATTTTGTTTAAAGGATATATACAAATGTAGACAGCAATAACTTTTAGGATAAACATTTGATTTTTCTTTCCTGGGTATGACTAAGTAATCATATATATATTCCGTTATTATAAATATATACCTCCTCTAACATTGTTAATATTCATAAAACACCCGATAGATGCCATTAAGGCCATTCTCTGACAGCTGCTCCACTTGCATATATTTCAGTCATAGCTTCCACTGCCTTATTCCTTTTTGACAAATATGTCATTATTCCCACATTGCAAGTGATTTACATGGTCTTCACTTGTATTGACTCCTTGACCATTTTAATTCATCTTCCTAATAGTATTCACCAGGCGGAAAGCTTAGGTGAAATTAGTGATGATGCCTGAGCCAATTTTAATAGAATTGAAAACAGCTTATAGTTTAAATCTTTTAACATTTTCTATCCTCCATTTTGGAATGTATAATAGAAAGTAGCCACTAACTAAGTCAAAGTGTAGCTATACAATTACACAGTTTAAAGCAACCCTATCCAAAGCAAGATTTGTAACAGCAATTTCTCTGAAGAAACTAATTTTCTGACAAAAATTTCCAATGATTTCACTTAAAAGCAGGTAGGTATTTCTACTTGAAATAAAAAGCAGTGTTTCAAGCACTTACCACTTGTGACTTGATAATATAATTTTAAGTGTATGGAGTCTACAAATAATGTATAACTTTAAATTAGAAGCCTAATAATAACCAAAAACTGTTGTTAAAAGAGAATATTGAACCAGAACAGAGATATATTTTTGTCAAGAATAAAAGAGATGAAGAACTTTATATGTCCACTATTTACTACAGACATTTTCCATGCACTGTTGACCATACTTTCAGACTATGGAAAAAATATATTTATTAAAAAAAAAAGTTCAAAAACTTCCCCAGTATTTTTTTTTTTCTTTTTTAAGATAAAATAATTTATGTTTGAGAATTTTTTTCTTCAATGTACTGCTATCAGGACACCAAAGGCAATAACTCCTAGTCTTATGTTTCTGTATTAGAGGTTGATGTAATTATGATAGACTCATCTGGTACTCTCTCCTCAAAGACTGGATGTTTTGTCGGTCAAATTTGTCAGTCATTTAAAATGACATTGTGTCCTTTAAAGTTATTTTGTCAATGGTTTATCTATAATCAGTAGTTATTAAACCAATATATATTGATAAAGCAGCTGAGAAAAAGGCTATTAAGGAGAAATATATGAAGAGAATTATTTGAATGCCCAAGAGATATATGAGCGCACTGCATTATACAGATACTATACAATGAAATGACTAAAATGAAGGAACATGGGAAGAGCACTGACTGGAAAGAGTCATAATAATTCATGCATAGGAATAGGATTTGGAAGTTTATGGAACCAAGAAAACAAAAACAAAAAAAAAAAAGAAAATGATAGGAATTTTTATTTTATTTTATTTTATTTTTTTTGTCTTTTAAATAAGATGAAGCTAATAAATTAAACCCAAATGGTTATATTAATGTTTACCTCTCAGGTAACCTTAAAACCTCTCAGATAAGGGAAATTTTCTTTTTGTAGTTGTTCCAGGTATACTGTAGACTATTACACTAGATCAGTCAAGTATTTGACTTTTGACTACTTACGAAAGAAAAAGCATGCAATTTTGTAAGCATCCTGATCTTTATCACTTAGTCATAATTTTGAAACATTCAAGGAAATGAATGAATGGATAAGATTATCTTACCTGTCTATGATCCCACATAAGTCAATCTGCAGATCACTGAAATTGCCAAGAAAATTTTGCTGAACTGCGATCATATCCACAGGTTTATTATCAATAGAAAAGAGTCGCATACATCCTTGAAAACCACTAAATGAGCTGTTACATTCAGTATTATTTCCACCATTAGGACAGCCTGAAACAAGCATAAAACGTGGTGTTAAAAAAGTTATTTAACTGAACAGGTTTGTATATTCCAAAAAGTAGACCAGATATTCATAATTTCCAGGTGATAAAAACTTTGTGAAAGGAAGGGTTTAGTCAGAAACATTTCTGTTTAAGCATAGTGATGGAACTGAAAAACTTTTCCTCAATCTTATGACTTTAAAATATATGTGATGAGATCACTAAAAATCAGGATACAGATTAATCCAAACGGCAGTTCAAAACCAAGGAAAGAATCAATATGTTGATCAATACACTTGACAGATCAATCAACCTGATTATTACTGAGTATTATTATTTAGTATTATATTAGTGAGGTGAACATGATTTGGATGGGCTTTAAGTCACAAATCAAGTCCAAGAAGATATACAAAGAACTAGTAAATACATTGATCTTTATTTATCAGTGCAATCTTACCATTTCTGTCATCTTTAATAATAAGAATGCACACACTTAGTGGATAACATTAAAATAGAAATTATTTTGAGAAAGATGCTATAGACATATGTAGTTGAGAGGTAATAGTTTATAGTTAGAAAAATGTAAATAAGTTTAATCACGTAAAACTTTGAGATCACCTTTTCTACAAAACAAAAAGAAAACCAAAAACATGTGTAGTTTCTTAGCTGACTTGAAATATAAATGATAGTAGGTAAGTGTAAGGATCAGAAGCCAGATCAGCATAGGTGAAGTTGTAGTATGTGTATGATGCAGATATACAGATCTCCTAATGAAGGAGGATAGATGATTAAGGATAAAGTCTTCTTTAGATGGCTGACAAAAGCACTTGGTGTTCATGGGTGACTTTTAACACTCCTTTAACACCTGGAAGGATATCATGGCTGGTGCAAGCCATCCAGGTTTTTTCTGGAATGTACTGATGACAATTTCTTGATGCAGGTCAGGTGATGCATTGATAAACCAACTGGAAGAGTTGCTCTGTTGGACTTGCTACTCATGAACAAGAAGATACGCAAATTAAGAGCAGGCTTGGCAGAAAGGAGAATGAGAATATGTAATTTAAGATCCAGATAAAAGTCATCAGAACAAAAGACAATCCTGGACTTTCGATTTTGGCTTGTTCACCAGATCCTATGGGAAGCTTCCTTGGAGAACAATGGGATCCTGCACAGCTGGCTAACTTTCAAGGTTAACTACATCAAACCACAATAACGGTCCATTCCCATGTGTAGAATGAGCAAAAGTGGTAGAAGACCAGCAAGGATGATCATAGAGCATCTGGCTAAGCTCAAACATAAACATGAAGTATACAGGTGGAATGAGGGACAGGCTCTTTGAGAGAAATACAAAGACATCATCTATGGTAACAGAGTCAGGAAAGCCAAAGCACAGTTGGGCTTGAAAACAGCAAAGGAAGTAAAGGGCAACAAGGAAGTACATTCCTAGGGAAAGGAAGATCAAAAAAGGGCACTTGGTAACATGGGATATGGAAAAGGTTGAGTTGCTCAAGATCTTATTTACTTGTTTTCATAGGTAGGACAGCCTCAGACCTTCCAAGTCCCTAAATGTGCTAGCAAAGCATGGTTTGTGCAAGAGAGGCAGAAGAGGAACAAAAAGTTAGTTCATTTAACCTACACAAGTCTTTGGAAGGTTATAGAGCAAATCCTATCAGAAACCATTTTTTAAAAATATGAAGGACAAGAAGATAGATGGAAACAGACAACATAGATTTAACAAGAGAAAATAACATCTGACAAACTGCATTGCTTTCTTTGATGAGATGACTGGCACTGTGGACAAGAGGAGCGCAGTGAATGTTAATGAGATGTGGACGAATTAAGCGGATAATCAGTGTTACAAAGTCCAAATGATAAGAATTGATGTCCAGGGGTGTGTACTGGGACCAATATTTTCTGATGTGTTTGTGAATAACCAGCATGATGGGATGGAGTGTACTCTCAGTGAGTCTGTGCACGATACCAAACTGGAAACAGTAGTCGGCGTGTTGGAAGGCAAAGCTGCTATTCAGGTGGACCTGAACAAAGTGCAGAAATTTGTCAACAGGAACCTCAGGAAGTTCAGCAAGAGTAAGTGAAAGCTCTTGTGTCTTCAATGGGATAACCTCATGTAACAACACAGGCTAAGGGCCAACTGCCTAAGAAGTAGATTTGCAGAAAGGAGAGAAAGTTCTCAGTAGATAATATGTCAGCTGTGGACCATGAGTGTCATTGCAGCACAGATTCACAGAACGGTTGAAGTTTGAAGGGACCGCTAGAGATCATCTAGCCCAATCCCCCTGCTCAAGCAAGGACACCTAGAGCACATGGCACAGGGTCGCATCCAGACAGATTTGGAAGACCTCTAGAGAAGGAGACTCGACAATGCACTGTATTAGCAAAGCTGCAAAGAGCAGATCCAGTGAAGTGATCCTTACTCTTCATTCGTGGAGAGACCATGAATATAGTGAGACCAAATGAGACCATATCCAGAGTGCTGTGCCCAGTTCTGGGGTACCCAGCACAGGAAAGCAAAGGACTTTGCGAAGCAAGTCCAACAGAGGTTACCAAAATAGTAAGTAAGGTGGAGCACAGGGCATATGAGGAACGTTTGAGAGGGATCAGACTCAAGAAAAGAAAATAAAAGGGAGATTTTATTGCTGTATACAACTACCTGGTAGGAGGATACAGAGACAATGGTGTCCAACTCCTTCCAGAAATGCACTAGGAGAAGAGCCAAAGAACACAAGTTGGAAATGACATTTTCTGATCAGATATTAGGAAAAAAAAAACAAAACACCACACTATAAGAGTGGTCAAATACAGGAACAGGTTGCAAAGAGAAGCTCTGGGATCTCCATCCTCGGAGTCATTCAAAACTTGACTAGCTAGAGTTCCCTGCACAACTCAACTTAATCAGACTTTTTTTGAGTGAAGAGTTGAACTAGCTGAACCTCTGAAGGTCCCTTCCTACCCAGATTATTTTATAATTAAGTGATAAACGTTTTATAAATATCTAACACTGCTGTTTATTTGTTCTATTATTGATAGTGATCTGACTTGTTTTGGTCACTATAAGTTAATCACACATCATTAATAAATCCATAAAGTACTTCGATCTTCACTTAACTTAAACCATGCAAGTTGTGCATTTTTTAACCTGAGGCAATAGAACACTACATGACAACAGGTGCCTGATTTTTTTTCTTAAGGTAATATTTCTTCTGGGATGATACAGAAGGGCAATACTTTGATCTTAAATAATACTGCGTTTGAGTACACATCATTCAAATTGCTTTTTGTTTCATTACATTAGCAAGCAGTGGCTTTTAAGACTTTTAAGACATTTCTCTGTTCTTTATAGCTAACAGGCACTTCCTAATGTTCTGTAAAGACAGCACAGAGAACCCCTCTATAGAAAAACAAACATGACATGGCAATGGAAACTTGTATATCTAGTCAAATGAGTGAAAAAGAACATAAAAAGCATTCATGGCTTTGAGGAAATAAAAAATAAAGAATGAGCTAAGAGTGCAAAGAAATCATCAATGGGCTTTTTCTGGGAAGGAACAACTAAGGAAAATTGTTCATTAACTGCTTTACAAAACACGAATCCTTTGAATTGAAAAGATCAAAGATGGAGTATAGTAACCTTTCAGTCCCATACATAATTAGACAGATAAATAATAGTTTTTAACCATATATTCTACACAATTTAACACAAATTTAAACTTTTTTTGTTATCTCTAGTAGAAAATATGGTTTTTGAATGAAATGTGGAGTGTCTATTTAAAAAAAATAAATCATAGAATCATAGAATCATTAAGGTTGGAAGGGACCTCTAGAGATCATCTAGTCCAACCCCTCCTGCACACGCAGGGTCACCTAGAGCATGTGGCACAGGATTACATCCAAGTGAGTTTTGAAGATCTCCAGATAACAAAAAATTAAAAATCTTTAACACTTGATACTCTGCAAAAATCTTAGATTTTTTTTTAAGTCTGTCTTTCAAATCTTTGCATCTTCTAATTCTATTACACTGAATTACCTAGAAAATGCAACACATTAATATTAATGAAAGTGGAGTCTGTGCATTAACAAAATAAATCCATTAAAAATGGCATAGGCCTGAGGTGCTTATTATATTTTTAACTAATCTCTTTTTACCCTTATACCTGCAATGAGTTATTATCCAAAGAACTGAGAGATGCAGTATGTCCTTGATGGTAGCATGACTAGTGTTTGTGCTGACATCATATATTAAAGAATATTCTTGATAACTATGTATTTCCTCAGTCAAGCATACATATTTCTCACACACTTTGTAGTCGTTAAAACAAGCAAATTAACCATTATGTTTCCCTAGACAGCTTTCCTGAAAAGTTTATATTCACATTTTTAAAATAAGCACACCGAGGAATGGTATGCATTTTAACAGCCTTATACAGCCAAAATGCATTGTTTGCATTTTGGCATTGGTTAGACATGAAATTTAAATAAACAGAAGCTTTTTAGGTTTTTTTTTTTTTTCCCTAAGTTGTATGACATGCACAAGCTGCTGATTTGACTGTGAAACTTAATTCAGAAAATGTGAAGATTGTGGATATGCAATTGGCATTTTCAGTGTTCTTGGCAATAATTTGCCCAAAATATAAATAGAAATCTATTGCTGTATAACTTAGTTGGACCTGCTGCTTTTTGCAACTGCCCACATTTCTCCTGATCTGTGCACTTGTGCCATCAACCCTGCAATCTTGTGAAAACCACAAGATTAATTAATTAAAAAAATGCTTTCTCTATATCCAAAGCCAATCCTCTATTTCTTTTACTGATTATCATCTAAAGGAAAGGGTTCCATTGTCTTTACTAGAAAGGTCTTGATGCCAAATTTGAAATCATCTAAGAAGTCACATGGGTGCTCTTGTAGTTGTTTCTAGATTCAATTTTGTCTTGTGAGCATGTAATTATTCACAGTCTACTCTTTTTCAAGGGAACTGATCTGTGGACAATGAACTGTTCCATAATGATTTCAGGTTTTTCATGTTTGTCACTTTTCTCAGGAATCAGAATTGTTAATAAAGCTTGAATGAGACAAAGCATTTGGCTAGTATTGAATAATGTATTTAGATATTGTTTAATATTGCTGTTATTCAATCCATTCTCAATAGATTCACATTCATTATAACTTTCACTATGGTACTGGTAAAAACATGTTTAACAGCAAAGTTACTTGGTCACGTTTCACAACCTCTGTGTGAGAGGGCTCAGATATAAATAATGCTCATATGAGAGAAAAAGGAGCATCTAAATCTAGCTTTCAGGCACAAGTTAAATTCTCCACTCTTGGCAAAGGTTTGGTACACTGATAAAAAACTATTTGAGAGTATTTATTGTGCACAGGACATATATGGACCTAGAGAGAATATTTGAACAAGTAAATAAACATGTACTTTAAGGGGAAATTTGAAGTAAACCTAGAGGATGATTCTCACATTGATCTAGCACGAAAATGGTGTATCATGATAGATGTCAACCTGCATATGATTGTATGATTGTCAGTGTGAACCGACATTAGATATTAAAACAGCATGATATTAGAAAACTATGTACTAAAAAGTGAACAAGAATTTGGGTAATAATATGTGCTACACAATACTACAGAGCTTTGAGGAAACACACACCTATAAAACCCATTTCAATACCTGAGAAAAACAAACTAGGTAAAAAAGACTTGAGGCAAGCCTAAGTAATCTGAGCTTGTGATGAAGCATGTCAGGAAAATTTATGCTGGACTATGGGATTCTGCAAGCTTAAATAAGCAACGTATTTTACCTCCAAAGTAGAAAGTATCTCCTGAATAAATTTGCAGAGGTATGGAGGCATGAGCAGACAAAGTCACATCATTGTCCACTATTACACTGATACGATTCCTTTTTGCAGAGAAAGAAACAGAATGCCACTGGCCATTATTTAATCCAGTACCTAGACGGAAAATAAAAAAAAAAACACAGAATGAAATAAATATATATATTACTTGTTATACTAGCTGAACAATATAGACTTTAAAGTAGAAGACTCTATTACAACAATCGGTAGTCTGTGTAACAATTCAGAGTGATAATAAAATGAACAAAGGACACAATGCCTTGAGTGAAAACAAACATTGATCCATTCATTTTCTTCACCTTCTGATAAAGAAAAATAAAAGTCCTTCAATGAATAAGGAAAACCAGCAGTTGTAATGCTCCTAATTTTTAGTAACACATCCATTAATGTAGCGACTATGAAAGGTATCTTGTCTAAGAAGGTTATCATTAAGGCATCATGCTCATGGTTGATATAATATTTTAAACATAATACATATTTTAGTGCACTATTACTAGGGATTTCTTCATCTTTTAAAATCAAAAAAAGTCATTATATTATATTCCAGGAAAATAGGAAAATCCTGTAACTGCTAAAAGCTTCAGCAACTGCTATGTCAGTGTCAAAAGATTTTTCTTCTATTTCAGATATCTTTTTTTACATGAAATGCATGGGTAAATTCTGGAGCTATCTGCTGAGAGTTTATCCTCTAACACCAATTTATGCTACCTCTTAATGATGGTGCCACTAAGCAATAAACCTAACGTCCTAATTCTGGAAAGTGCTTATATATATACACAATTTAATACATTTTATTCAGGGTAACACATAAGAACATTATTATCTTTAAGTAAGTGTGTTAAGTTTATCATGTTCTTAAGCACTACTTGATCAGTGATGCATCTTTCAGCTAAGAATATCTGAACTGAATTAGGTAATGTGTTTTCTTGACTGCTCCGTGGCTCTAATTTGTGATCTGTGATTTCCTTCTTGAAATTTCATGCATTTATATGCTGTAGAATTTGTTCACATTCTGTAAAACATCCCACTCTTTAATGATTTTGTTCAAAACAGAAAAACAAAGTAAAATAGAAGAATAAGTAGGTTAAAGGTTTCAGCATAACTAGAATTCCTATATTGTTAACTACCACAGAATAACAACATAGTTTCAGCACACAATCATCAGATAAATGTTAGAATTGCAGTAGAAGCTGAGATACATGATCTATTAGAAAATGTCTCCAATACTTTGAACACAATATTAGACATATACAAACCTTCTATAGATTGTTTCCTTCAGCTAGTGTTATGGAATGCACATGCAGAAACTTTATCCTCTAGCAACACTAAAATTTTGCTCTCTCCCTGGTCTGAACTGTGTTATATAGAAATTCTAGACAGCAGATCTTTTTGTCTATGTGGCTTTTTCAGGGAAGATTCAAATGTAATGCAAGGAAACATGGAGCCTTTTTCTCAGGTACTGGCACCATTTTTCTGGATTAATTAATGTGTGTATTTTCTACTTCTGCAAAGCCCCCTCCTAATGGTATTTATAGAGATGGACCTTCTACTAAAAGAAAAATTGGAAACCTTATTTCACGATGTATACTATAACAGTAAAGCTATTATGTCTGGTTACCAAAAGGTCACCCACAGAATCCTTTTGGTAAAAAAGGATTTATATAGCCCTACAGGCAATGCGGAGGGAGTGACTGCACTTTTCCTACATTTTCAAGGTCTCAAATTGTTGAAGAAGTCCCTTTGGACTGGTGGAAGTCAGTATAATTTAGTGTAGCCTCCAGGCTAGTGTATTTTATGTTAGGATGGTGTAGTACTGAGCTGAGGATCAAGCAAATGACTTAAAACTCTAGGTATATTTTCATTATATAATCTGTTGCAGTTCCATATACATTTAAAAAACAGAGTAGATAAAGTGTTAGAAAAATATTACTGCTGCCTTGCAGTGTCAGCGGCATAGATGAGTCACACTTTATACTGAAGTTTTTAGATTTCACAGGTGTTGTTATATCTCCCCTATTATCTTTTAGTACTCCTTTACAGCTAGAATTCATAAAATATATCAAAGGATTTTACCAACTTCAACCCCAAAACTAACAAAGAATCACAAACAGATAAAGCATTCCTAGATCTTTTACACCTCTTTCAACCTTTGTGAACTGCAAACTCTTTAATCAAAGGTTTAATAAGTATGCTAAAACAGAGAATATTAATCAGGTTTTATTTAAAGCACAACAAATTAAACCTGAGAAAGGCTCTTTCCAATTTGCAGTGCTGTAATCAGTTTTCTTATATAAATCACTGTAGAATGATCCTTCAGTAGGAAACTAAATTGTAAAATGCATAGAGTATAGCACTACTTGCATCATCGTACCTTTAAGACCAACTGGTTTTATAAGAGCAAAAGATTCTACCACAGTTTTTTCTTACCCTATGTACCCTTCCTTCTTTCCAGCCTCACTTCCCATCCACCAAAGTTCCCGCTTCTTTCATCTCACCTTTGAGATTAAGCAAGAAAACTTTATTTTTGAGTTAGCTCAAATGACTGATTCCTCAATCACTTCTCTGCAACATGCTAGGTTTTCCTTTGATTATACTAACAAAGCATTCTGTAATTTCATTTCAGTGAAACAATGTGAATTGATTTTAATTCTTAGTGTTGCATTCCACCTCATTAAATTCCTGTTTTGAGATCATTTTTATATATAGCAATACTGGAACAGCATATAGGTAAAAGAATGGCCAACCACAAAGAAACTGATTGCATGAATGACTGAAGTAGAAAAATCATTTTGTTACTGCAAGGAGGTGATATGACTTTCCCAATTCTTGTTTTGTTTACTATACTTCATTGTATTGGTGTACTCAATGGTAATAGGAGAGAGATTTTACTTTCTTTTCAATAGTCTGCCATGATTAGAGACACACAATGTCCACCTTGCTCAAAGAAGAATATAAGCTTATGAAAAAACCTTTTCGTTAAATGTAGGAACTGATGAATGCCTAGTATCATGCCTTATAGTAGCATGATATATGCTTGTGTGAACCCTTCTTTGCGTAAAGGCATGGTATGACACTCCATATGCCTGATGAAGGGGAAGGGACTGGTAACATATCAATTCCATGTGAAAATGGTGCTGATAGGTTTTCTAGCAGGTGTTTTAAAAATGATTTACCAGGAAACGCACAGGGAAAATTAATTATTATATTATTAATGCATATTAATGTATCTTTTAAACAAGATTTCCATTTATTCACAATACCTGTACACCACTTAAATATTTAAGTAACTTGGATATTTAAATGTCAAAAAAAAATCTGTAAGGTCTTCCAGAACAATGACCTATAATCTTATGAAAGTATATATCAAAAGTCAGTGTATATAACTTATTATGAGATCAGTGAGAAATAAAAAGATAGGTTAGAAATAGTTTGTAGATTAGTCTAAAGTACAACCTCCAGATTCAATGACTGTTAACATCATTTAATGAAAAGCTGCATAGAAGACAGATTCGTACGAAGAAACTGAGTAATAATATTTTAAACATTCATACATATTGTAACTCAATTTAGACTCATCATTCAACAGAAATTAATTTTGTGTTCATTTCTTTTCATAATCTATGTTATTTCTTTGTGAATATTTTATGTGACTCACTCACAAAAGCGGCTACAAAGGAACTATATAAAGCAACCCTCTGCAAAAGAAGAATATGGTTTATTATAGCTTAATCACTTATGAATTAAATACCATTCTCACTTTTATATGGCTGAAGAGATCTTTAAAAAACTGATGGTAATGAATTCTAAGAACAGTTCATAAAGAAATATGCTCTAATTTAATTAGCAAGTTTTGTGTGTGTGTGTGTGTGTGTGTGAAAGCCAGGTCATAAGTCTTTGCCTATAGGGGAACAAACCTGTACAACCATCCATAATTTAATTACTCAATCTTCAAATGCAGACTTTATTCACTTCAGTAAATGCAGCAACAATAAACACTTCAAAAGCTCAGGAAAAAGTTCACTGTATGGTTTTGCTAGATAAATTCCTTCTCAGAAGAGAATAAGGTCTTTTTACAGTACTTTCTGTCTTCACAAGCACAAACATTATTCCAGCTGTTAGAGCTTATGAACACTAAGTTTAATAAGTAAACAGTAAGTTTATAATGATGTTAAATTCTGCTTCAAGATTGAGCTTCAAGGCTTATTTTGAGGTATTTCAGCTAATATGTTTGTTTGCGAGTTTGAAGTTGACTAATTTGCGCAGAAGTGCCAGCACCTCAGCTGCTCTGTTGAAGTGACACTTCATGCCAACAATTTCTTTTACATATAGTACCTAACTGAACTGCAACTGAAATAGAATCTAGAAAGCCAAATACATCACTGTTAACTACATACCACTGATATTCTTACTAAGGAATTAACAAATTCAAATGGTATGTCTGGGGAAAACTCTTGTCATTCTTTGTGCATCCTTCATTTAAGATTATAACAAATGCTGGGACTGATCCTACTGTCACCCACAGAAACAGGATCAAAGTATTTATGCAAATTTCAAATTACCCATGATCATTACAGGATCACAATCCTTCCCTGAGTGAAAATAATGAACTCTTTAAAATTTTAAATTTAATCATTATACACCTATAGAGAGAGCTCTGGAGTTATGTTTAACTTTTTTTTTTTTCTTTTTTTATTCCCTCACAGGAATTTGTGTTTTGAGTTAGTGAAACAAGGAATTAATCTAAAAGAACCAAAGGTGGTATTGCAAAGGTGTAGAACAAAGATTTAGGCCCTGTCTCCAAATCCCATGGCTGTTTCTTTGCTCTATTTGGCTATTCTTTGCTCTGTCTTCCTTATATTGTCAAACTCATGACTTGTGAGCATTTTAGAACAGAAGTGATTCCTATGTTTTTGTGCCAAGAATTTCTTGAAATTTGCTCCCTTTTCTCCCCTTATTTTTGCATAGCCTTTTGCATGCTGAGGATTCCAAGAGGGTTAACATTTGGATTTGCACTGCTTTGGTTACGTACAGTATGTGTTATTGTTTAGGACAAACTAACCTTAAATGGCATCATTCAGCTCCCTTATGTTGTTACTTGTAAAGTCCCCCACTTTGATTCTTATCCTTGCAATGATAGGAACCCTCCTACCCTTTACAAGAGATCAAGCTTGTATGCATCTTAATCCTTTAAAGGTTTGTTGAGTACAATTGCAGCCTGCATTTTTGCAATTTATTCTTCAACTTTTAAATCAGTTCACATGTCCATTTTGCTGAAACTAACTTGATTTCCTTTCCAATAGTAATATTTCTGCTTCATGAATACTAAACATGAAAGATTTTTTGTACCAAATCTAAACTAAATCTAGGATCAACTTCCTTTTTGGATGATCAACATTGTGTTTTCGACAGCCAAGTTATCTATTGCTTCTAAGCATATTCCGCAAAGGACAGAACTCTGATCATCTTCTTTGCCCATGCAGTACCTGCTCCACTCTCAGTTGTATTTCCTCATCTTTATACATTCTGTGAAAACCCTCCTTTCTCTCTAACTCCATTTCTCCTAGTGGGAATTTATCTCTTATTACCATTTTACCCTTCTATAACATAGCGGTAAAATCCACCTTGCTTACATAACAGATGAGAAACGCTGAGCCAGTTCCCATGCATAGAGTACCAAAGCACAGTATACCACCAAAAACAAAACGTTAAGTGAAACCATTGGTGACAACAATCACACAGCAGCATTACTGCCCCTCACCATCTTTGGAGGAATCATGGAAGATGGAGTAGCTCTTGGTTAACTCATTTTGAGTAAAACAAAATGATTCCTGGATTCACCAGCAGCCTCAAAGAGAAAGATATCAGTACACATAGAAAAAAAAAAAAAAGGAGCCTCTTGGTGAAGCAAGCACAACCCTTGTTCCCAAGCTAAGTGAAAGTGTGACAGGGAAAGCTGGGAGCTCTTTCTTAAGATCCTCATCAGACATTCTCTATCATGACTGAATCTTTCTACATTTTCTTCCTTCTCTTGTATTTATATGCTCATTTTGAAGCAGAGGAATGGTTCAAAAGAACAATAAAGGGTATGTTGTCTGGATAACTCTGCTCTGGCCCTGGGGCTTCCTGGAAATCAATACACACTGCCAAGCACAAATGATCTAATCTTCATTTCCTAATCCATTCCATTCATTTCATAATCCTTGTTTCATTTAGAGATTAACTACGAAAATGATACATTCAGTCTCCTCATTTGTCTATTTCTTTTGGCCCTACCATGAATCTTAAGGTAAAATCAAGCTTTTCTTAGATTTTTGGAGTCCAATCAAATATTTGGCATTCTGTGCCCAAACGTAACAGAAAGTTTTTTAATCAAGACTTCTAGGAAATAATATAACACTATGTGTGTAGATAAATATAGATATTTATGGCTTTCTATACAAATGACTCACTTGATCCGATGTGAAAACACTGACAAATGGCAACATCTTAACACGTGAGCTTGGCAGAGCAAGAAATTAACTTGTTTATGTTTTACAAATTAAAAAACTGCTTAGATCTCTAAGAATACTCATAAACATGAGCTTTACATATGCAAATTAAGGACCCAGCTCTGTCACCTATATTATTTCAAGTTATTTTTAATCAAATAATCACAGAAGGAGACATATATTTACATGTCTGACAGAAATAAAGGAACTGTTTTAGAAACATTTGGAATTAAAATTCACATCAGTAGGGATCAGTTACACATACAACCGTCATAGAACCAGGTCACTGATGAATAACATGACTTATTTTTCCATGCATATATTTTTTTTTCCTTCCTCTCAATTTTTGTTACCTGCAGTGATGTCACTCAGTGCTTTTCCTGGTTTATAAAGACTCATTTTAACTCTCCCATCACTGAGATACAGCAGAAGTCCACCTGAAGTCTGGTGCAGTTTGGTAGACAATAGAAGTCCCTCTTTGTTCCAAGTGCGAAACTGGAAACTGATGGAAACTTCTTCTTGCCCGGAAGTGCCAGGCAATGCCAGGTAACTGCTGGAGCTCAGGAATGTAACAGGAACCAATGGTGGCTCTAAACATGAGAAGGACATGTTGCCCTAAGAGGAAATGAAACAAGGACGATGTTAAGAACATTTAGTGAAAAAAATAATCATGGGAATGGCTTTTTGGGAAGCCATGGGAATTTGTATGGAAACCATACATTTTGAAAACATTATGAATACAACCTAATACTTATAATTCTTGGATATGTTAGCCGAAGAATCAAGGATAACTACACAAGAATGTATCATTTTGAGAAATGTTTATCAAAGTGTTTGTCCAGAACAGACTTACCTATATTGGCAAAGCGAGGCAAGAACATATAATGAGTTAATAAAGTGAGATCCTATGTCATCTAGGCGACTAAATGGTACTTCAGGGTTTACACAGACCTAATTTGTTTCTGTTTTGGCTGAGCCTCAGGAAGCATTAGGGATCTGACAGATTTCTGAGTGTTAGAGGAAATGCCACTAAATGCAAACTTTGGTTCAAATACTTGCAGGGGTCTAATGCTAGGCAGAGAAAAATGTTGGACTGGGTTACTATTTTGAGGAAAAATCTTTTTTTTTGGACCATGGAGCAACACTGGAGATGTGTCCTGACCTTAACGTTCATTTTCACAAATAATCAGAGAATATTACACATATAAACTCTTAATACTTTCAAATATGAAACATACATTTTATAGAGCAGAAGGACGTCTGCCCCAATTGGATCAGATCATAAGCTGTATTTAGGCACCTAACCTTTATTTTGTGCTTGACTGTTTCTGAAATCACTGGTTCTTAGATACTTAAACAAAGTTGAGGATGTGTGGCAAACCACATCCTTAAGCTGCATACAGAGCTAGAGAGTCACAGTTAAAGTGACATAAATGAGAAGATTAGAACAGAAACAACATATTCTCTGGGTCTAGCATCAGAGTTAGTTAATATTTTGTGCCTCTTCCTAGTGATACAAGATGCACTTAGATCTAATGACTTGCTGGTATTATTTCAACTATAACTAATGTTCTGTGCAGATGATTACTAGAAATATAATGTTCCAAGAAAATCAAATACATTTAACTTCCATTCAAAAAACAGTTTTCAAACTTTTAAGTATACATAAACTTTGACCTTCTGAGAGCAGAAAGATACAAAATCAGTTTAAGAGAAATAAGCACTACCCCATGGCAAAGCAAGACGTTAAAGTTTATCTGTTTCCACTTCCTTCAAGGAAGATATATAAATAAATAAAAGTACTCTTATGAACTGAACTGCAGGAAGATAGTCAGCTGAACTGACCTATAATCAAAAGGTAATCATAGGACTAATAAACTTTGTTAAACACTAAAAGCTTACCATCTGCACATTCCCCTCCACATTATTTGGACAGCTGCCTGACACTGTATCAGCCTGTATCCTGATACTGGCTGTTTCACATTTGAATATATTATTTAGTCATCTCCTTGATTTTTCTTTCATTGAACAATATAGATTTTCTTAGAACTGTGAATTTACATGTTGCATATGAAAGTGGTTGTGGTCTTTTTATTTTCTTATTTGTATTAATTTATTCTTTTTTATCTAAGCATCTCTTACCACAAAGGAGATCTGAGATTTTTGACTCTTGGCCAGATCAATAATATTCACTCCATTACAATAAATATTTTCAAAACACCCATGGAAGTTCTTGCGTGACAACATCCCTGATTTTCCAGGCACCAGGATCCCTCCAAAGCTGAGCTTAGAATGGGAAGAAAAAATCAATAATACAATTAAGTAATTTTCTAACGAAAAATGTTACTACTAGTGCAAGAACAGAAGCCAAAGACAGGCCACAAGTGAATCCAACATTTCTTAGTTATTTCTTTGTGTTGCATCTATGAATTAATAAAACAGGCTAACAAAATGTAGACTCTATCAAGTTTTGAAATGTTAGCATTTTTAGAAAATACTTCTTTTACCAAAAGCGTGAATTTAGAGTCTTGCCTATTTTCAGCATAAACTACATTTTCAGTGTCAAATGGAAGAAGGACAAATTTGGGCAATGCTTAAAGGAAAAAGAGAGTTCTCTAACTTTCTTAGTAAATTTGAGTCTGACTTCTCCATTAAAAAAAAAAAAAAAGAATTGAAATTTTTCTGTGTCAGTTTAAACCAAATGAAAGAATTTTTAAATCTTGGAATGTTTAGTTAGCCTGTGCAATTGCTCTAAGTGATGTTGTAGTTTTACTTACTTTCTAAAAAAAAAAAAAAGAAGATATAATAAAAAGCAAAATAAACGCATGGACACTTTTTAAATTCAAAAACATAATTCTGTGTAAGTTAGGCCCTGAGGCAGATTCTGTTGCAAAGTGTTAGAAAGTTACATGGTTGACCTGAGTTATACTCTGGACTATATTTTTACTCTCAGGCATCATCACAAACAGGATATCATCTTGGGAGCGTCAAGATTCCTTTGGAACACTGTCATTCCAGAGTCATTCTGATTGACATTCAAAATTTCTGTAAAAACTGTTGGTTTAAACTGACCATCCTGAAATATCATTTTTTGAAAATAATTATTTAAATGTTGTTTTTTAAAATAATAGTTTTATATACATTTTATACTCACAAAGATTTTAGTAATATTATAAGGTTTTTGATTTTTAAATTCTACTTCAGAATTTAAATAATTTTATGAAAAATTCAAATTGAAATATTCTTTCTTCAATACTATAAGTTATAAGAATTATTAAGTTCTGATTGCTAGAAATACAGTGAATTACTAAATACAGTGATTAAGATTTTTTGGAGTATTCTGAGTTTTTGCAAGTTTTTGTATTAAAAAGGCTCCTTTCTACTTCTACTGATAGTACCTCAAATGTACTATCAGTATAGTACATGTAGTATAGTATATATAACAAAGGAAAAATACTAGCTGATTTAGTAAAATGTGCTTACTAACCACAATCATTTAAAAGTTACATGTATTTGTTACTGCTTCCCCTTCTTTTTTCATATGATACTCCAAACTTTGCCATTGTGTTTTAGATTGCTAATTTTTAAGCATAGTTCTGTCTTCAATCATATGAATAATATTCTTGAAAAGTATAGAAGAATAGAGAAAAAGAGGAGAGCATTCAAAGCACCACTTTGAAAACTATGACTTCTCAAGGGCAGTATTAGACACCTCCACAAAATAGTTTTGAATCAATATATTTCTTAGATATGTGCATTTGAAGTGTCCCAAGAAATCATTTACTTTCATTGTATGACTCAGTCAAAATTCAGGATAATAACTAACAGAAGCAAGTTGCCTAAAAGGTGGATGTTATGGTGTTAATTTAGAAATTGAATTGATAAATAAAGTAATACAGATTTGTGAGTTCAAGTAGGTGCACTCTATTCTAGCACTCATCATTTCATCCTAAAAATAGGAAGGGACTAAGCACTATTCACCAACTTTTAGACCTTGGAATCATGTTTGGGAAAATTTTGCATGATGTTACACATACTCCTTTTCACGAATCTACTATTTATGTAGATGAGATTTGCTCACCATACATTTGCCAGTTTTACTAGGAATTTAAATTTTAACTTAATACTTCTGAAATGGGCTTTAGCCATTGGAAAATTATTTTCCATAATTTTCATCAAATCATAAAGTTGTGTGATTTGGGGCTCATTCCTCTTTTGTTTTCACAGCATTTAATACATTTGCAGTTCTACTGGAACAAAAGCAACAATAATGATTTTAGAGATGAAAAAGATGTTCTACAGAAAATTTGGCACTGTAAGTCTGCTAAGAAAAGTATTAGTAAGCTAAGAAGACCTCTCTCCAAATCATTCTTTCAGGAGATAAAATTGCCTGGAGTCTTAAGCTCTACAAACTTCCCTAAGTAAGTTTTATCCCCTCTGCTTGTTTCATTGCATTTACATAACAAAGTTAATATACGTAATAAAGGTAAGGTAATTTTCACACCTCATAATCAAGGTCCACATAATTGAATTCTCCCTTTGCATGAAAATGATGTGTGTGTTTATCCACTGTAAAGTTTACTTGATTGTTAAAATGCTCAATGAGGACAGAATGCCAATGTTGATCATCCAAAAGGCTGCCCAGGGTAATATTAATTTGGGCATTAGAAGAGTGAGTTTTAGCATCACCTTGAGGGGAGAAAAATAAGAAAATATTAGGTCCACATAAAAAAGTATAAATATTCAAATACATATTGCTAGCTTACAATACACTATGCATCAAAATAAGCTTTTTTTTTTTTAAAAATGAGTTTTTTTCCAATTACATTAGACTGAATAAGACTGTAGTTGTTACCTAAATTAATGAGTAAGGACAGCTTTCCTTTAATTAATTCCAGTGTTATATGGTCTCCATTTTGTCCTTCTCTGTGGAGTAGAATTCCGTCACTTTGCATTGTCTTAAACTTCAAAGAAATCACATCTTTCAATGCACTCATGAGTTTTTGATTAAATCTGTAAATTAGACAACTTTTCCCATCAAAACCAACCACCTCAGATCCTAGAAATAAAGAAATTAAAGACAATGTATAATGCTGTGTCTAAAAGAAACAGTTGCATATAAATTTGGTACTATGAGAACACATCACTAACATCTCTGCTTTCACATATGACATGTAAGGAGTTTGTTAATGCTATTCCAAGTATTCCACAGATTTTAATGCCATGCTAGTGGTGTTACTTTCACTAAATTATAAAACAAGATGATCTGAACAGATTACAGCTTCTATCCATACTGAAATCACATATGGAAACATCTTTGTTGCCTTGGAGCCATTAAGCACATCAGTCATACAGTAAAAGCAGAATTGGGCAGTGAGAATTTCTTCTAATTTCATTTATGATTAATTCCAATTATCAAAAAAAGGAGAAAATAATTTCCATTATGTTAAACTAATTTTCAAGGAGTTAATGGCAAGCTATATCTTCAGTCAACTATTAAAATTAATCTGTATTCTCCAATTCATAATAATATTATAACATACTACTCTAGGAAAGAAACAAACATACTCTAAAAGGACAACCCATTAGTTATAAGTAGGTCTGGTTATCTTGTCATCAAATCTTACTTTGTTGACATTATAAATGTTATGTTGAATTGCAACTGCTGAAACGCAGCTTTTGAGCTTGAATACAGGTTAATAATGACTCTGTATCATCGGTCTTCCAGTACAGCCATATATCATAGACTCACACAGCCGCGAAAACACTGAGGTTGGAAGGCAGCTCTGGAGTTCATCTAGGCCAGCTTCCTTGTTCAAAGCAGGGTCAGCTAGAAGAGGCTACACAGGGCCATATCCACATGGGGTCTTATATGAAAGCTCTTGTAGTTCAGTTGGCCCATTGCCTCTTCTCCTGTCACTTCTTGCCCCACCAAGAAGAGGTTGGCTTCATCTTTCTTCCATCAGGTATTTATAAGCATTGATCGGATCTCCTCTGAGCCTTCCCTTCTTGAGGTTCCTGCTTGCATAAGACATGCCCAGTCAGTCCCTTAATCATCCTTGTGGCCTTTTGACAGACTTTCTTGAGCAGGTCACTCCAGATGTGACCTCACTAGTGCTGAGTAAAGGGAAAGGATCAACTTCTTCAAGGCCCTCTTTCTAATGCAGTCCAGGATGCCATAGGCTTTCTGTTGTGCAAGGGCACACTGTTAGCTCATGTACTGACTTTCGTGTTCACCAGTCCACCTGCCTTTTCTGCGTAGTTAATTTCTAGCTGATCAATCACCTTTAAATTATTTACTGGGTTATTCTTCCCTTCGATGAAGGACTTTGCACTTCCCTTTGTTAAACTTCATGAGGTTCCTGCCAACCCATTTCTTCAGTCTACTGAGGTTCCTCTGAATGTCAGAACTACCAATAGTTTATGAGCTATAGCTTCAAACTTATACCATCTGCAAAATTTCTTAAGAGTATAGTTGATCCCATCATCCAGGTCATGCATGAAGATGTTAAAACATTATTGGTCCCAGTGTTGAACCGCTGGGAGAAATCACAAGTGACTAGCCTCCAACTGCACTTTGTGCTGCTCATCACCACCTTTTGAGCCAGACAGTTCAGCTTTCAATGACCTCAGTGACTAACAACCTACTCTGTACTTATCTATGAGAATGTTAGGAGATAGTGTTAAAAACCTTACTGCAGCTTCTACTGCTCTTCCCTCCTCTACCAAGACAGTCATCTCATTACAGAAGGCTGTGAGGTTGGGCATTATTTTCCCTCCAGAACATTAGATCCATGCTGAACACTCCCATTCATCTTTTTGTCCTTACGTTTGAAAATATTTTCCAGGGCTATTTACTCCAATGTTCCCTCAGAAATCAAGAGGAAACTTATAGTTCCTCTTTCATGCTCATATTTAAGATAGGAGTGACATTTGTATTCTTCCAGTCCTCAGAAATGCCTTTTGATCACAACTTCAAAGTGTTGTCTCACAGTGACTTTGGCCCACACTCCCAGCACCAGGGTGTGTATCCTCTCAGGTCTCATAAATGTGTGCATATCTAGTTTGTTTGAACATTCTCACCTGATCTGAGAATAAGTCTTCCTTGTTCCAGACTTCCTATCAGTCTGGGATCTCCTGTTGGCAACTATGACCAATAGAGACTGAGGCAAAGAAGGCACTGAGAATATTTTTGTGTCCTTTGTCACTAAGCCCTCTTCCCCTTCCATTTCTCCTTAGCCTTCCTTTTGCTGTTGATGTACCTGCAAAAGTCCTTCTTGTTGTCCTTCACCTACCTTGACAGACTCCATTTCAACTGGACCTGAAGAAGGCCTCATCTACTTCTTCCTGATCCATAGCAGATACCATCAATGTCATCCATGTTAGCTGACCCTCTGATTCTACCTCACAAATTTTCAACTACATCATCACACATCCCTGCTTGCAGAGCTCCATGCATCCCTGTGGTGCTTTCAAATACAGTGAGCCTCTACCTTCTCAGTATGTTGGCCTTTCTTTCCCAAAGAGACAAAGCCTATCCATGCTCCTTCTCTTTGTAGCCCCTCGGCTTCCCAAAGATCTGTACTTCCTTTCTGTGTTTCTCACTAGACAGCTGGTGAGAAACCCCATGAAATTCAACAAGAGCAAGTGCAAGGTTCTGCACCTGTGGAGGAATAACCCCATGCATCAGTACAGGCTGGGAACCGACCTGCTGAAGAGCATCTCTGCAGAGAAAGACCAGAATGTCATGGTGGATGGCAAGTTGACCATGAGTTGACCATGACACTTTCCTTTGTGGCCAAGAAGGCCAATGCCATCCTGAGGTGCACTAAGAAGAGGTGGAGGGAGATGATCCTGCTCCTCTATTCAGCCCTTGTGAGGCCACATCTGGAGTACTGTGTCCAGTTGTGGGTTCCCCAGCACAAGAGGGATGTGGAACTACTGCAGAGAGTCCAGCGCAGGGCTAGAAGGAAAGGCTGAGAAGAAGGCCTGAAGAACAAAAGGCTGAGAGAGGATCTGACCAGTGTATATAAACACGTTAAAGCAGGGAGTGAGGAGGATGGGGCCAGCCTCTTTTCAGTGAAGGGCAGCGATAGGACAACAGGAAATGGCCACAAACTGAAGCACCAAAATTTCCACAGGAACTTAAGGAAACATTTCTTGACAGTGAGGGTGACAGAGCCAAGAGAGGTTGCAGAATCTCCTTCTCTGGAGATATTCAGAACCTGCTTGGACACAATCCTGTGCCACATGCTCTAGATGACCCTGCATGTAAAGGAGGAATGGACTAGATGATCTCTAAAGGTCCCTTCCAACCTTAACGATTCTATGATTCTCATGGTGTGTGTTTTAGTGCACAGGCACTTTGAGGGAAGTGCCAAATTCTGTTGCTTTTCCCAGTAATGCTTGATATATACTAAATCTCCTTTGCTGTATCACTGGTGCCTGTGTGGAAGGGTACAGCCTGTGTGGAAGGCAACAGCCTGAAGGACAGACAAGCCCTGTCAGTCTCACCCCAGTGTCCTGAATCTGAGCCCCAGCAAGCATAAACTTCCCTAAACAGATGGGGAAGGGATGTTAAGGATGATGCTAGGGATGTTGTTCTCTTCCCTAAACATCATGTCAGTAGACGGGGCCTCCATTTTCCACAGCAGGGAAGGGAACAGAAGGGACTTTGATTCCATATGACAATAAAAAAAAAAAAAAAAACTGTGAAGTTCAACAGCTGAAAATACTAGGCAATTTTAATTATATATAATGTGCATGCTTCTGTATGCATGCTTCCTGACTTACTCTGTCATGCGCATACTTTCCATGACTATATTGAAAAGTACCATCTTATAAACTGCATGACCATGCCCCAGGGAAATCTACTTTTTATTTCTGAGAGTGTTTTATCTAGTTTCTTTCAAGGTCACATACATTTACCTGGAGAAAGAACTTATTTCGGCCCAATTATATAAAAAAAATCTGTTAAAATCAGTGCAGTTTGAACAAGACACACAAAAAGGAACTGATAACACTGTGAAAAGCTTGTAGAGTATTCACAGTTGATAAGTAAAGAAGAAAAAGGTAATTGTCCTTGAAAGATACATTTATGAAATAAATGAAGATGTAAAGCCCACTCAGTAAACTACAAAGTTATTTTTCAAGCGACTGGTTGACTTCTTCCAAGTCAGTGATCACCCATTATCTTTTTACTAAGATTATTTAATTTCACCAAAAACATCTCTCTATTTTGGCATAGAAAAGAACTCAGTTAAAACTAACTACAGTATTTAAAGTCAGTCATTTATATTCCATTTTCAGAAACTCTTGTCAAATGAACGAAGCTATGCTTTTAAATGCTTTTTTTTTAAAAAAAAGTATTTACCACACACCTGCTAATGTGCTTCGAACTTATGAAGAATTCATTTACCAAGTGTACAAAGAATACCTATTACCTTGTACCTAGAAAGGAATCCTAGGTTGACTATTTTACTTCATTATGTCACTGAATGAATGTGGACAAAAAAAAAGCATAAATCAATGTCAAATTTAAAAATTTAAATAATGAATGTTAAGTTTAATAGTCTCAATAAAAGTTATGCACTTTAGTAATATAACTTCATATACCATCATGTATATATCGAACCAACTAACTTCTGTAGGTACTGATAACAGTACGGATTTTTAATAAAAAATTTAATAAATTTTTTAATAAAATACTGGGAGCATCCTTTTACTATTAGCTATTGAGAAACCTAGGTATGAAAGAATGAAAGATATCATTCCTTGCTCTCCAAAATGTCTTACACTCTTTTGCAGTACTATTTTCTAAGAAGCAAAACCTTTTCTGTCCAAATGTGGAAAATAAACAGAAATAAACTTTTTCTCCTATGAAAGGACTGCAGCTATTAATCAAAACTTTTATAAAGTTTCTCATCCATGTTCTATCTTCATCAGTTATGCACTACGATTATAAATATGTAAAGTTGTGAAAGATAAAGTAGGATTTCCTAAAGATTTATCAGGATAGAAGATATGAGCTCAAATACTCAGGGCATTATAATGTTTTCCTTCTTCATTTTTGCCACTTATGATCAGCCCCTAATAGTCCCTGGTCCTGAACATCGGTATCCAAGGTTTTTGTTCTTTAGGCTGCTCTTATTTATAAGGGAATTTTTTTAAAAAAGTGTTAATTTCCTTTATGAATTTATATGTTATATTTCACAATTATTATCACAGAGGCATTATTTGCCTATTCTCAAATTATATTACTATATTGTGAAAATATCTCTGGAGGTGAGTAAATACCTCTGAACAACCTGGAAGCCTGTTCATAGGCTCAATAATTATAGAAATATGGAAGAAAAGCTTTAGCTACAATATATTTGTTTGAAAAATGTTGATGTGATTTTTGCCGATCTCTTCATCTACTATATTTATTCAACTAAAGTTTTATTGGAAAACAAAATTCAACAATTTGATTTTTTTTCTTGTTTCTAGCTACCCTGATTAAAGCCTAATTGTATTACAGGATGAGAAATTTGATCAGGACTAATTGCATTGTAGGTTGAGAAATATGACCGGTGGACTTTGACAGTTTTGGAGAAAGCAAACCTGAAAAGGTACATGGAGTTCAGAAAAGTTAGGTAAACCAGGACTACTCAAACGAAAGCATTTTTAAAATATACTGTTAAGAATATTCATAGTCAGACACATCTAAAATTAACTTTTATGATCACATTCACACCAAACCCTTGAAAGCATACTATCCCATATGTAAATGGTGTAGGAAACTCTTTTCTTGGCTGTGTAGTTTTATTATTGATTTTATCCATTCCATCTGAAAAGGGAATGCTCACAAGGCCTTATCCAGCTCGTTTAACAACATCAGAGCCAGGACGTTGGCAGAGGGTTTTTTTCTCAAAGTATCTATAGCGAAGAGTTAGCATCTACTGGTGTTCATTTGCAGTTACCTTTCTTCTATAATCGTATAGCACGGTGATTTTACCATTTGAATGCATCTTTCTGCTTGTCATATGAGCCAGTCGTTACCTTTTTTCCGGTTGTAGCTGTCATGACTGTCTTTCAAAGGATAGACTGAGCAAGGAAAGGTTTTAACGAATTGAGAAAAGAGCATGCCAAAGAGATTTCTAAATTCACTTTTTAAGTGTCAAGGAATAGTTTTGTTTTTTAGCATAAAAAAAAGAGTTTGATGTAAATTTTGTATGAACAGATTTTGTTCATTCCAACACAGAAAGTGCTGGAAAGAAAGCATCAGAAATTGTTAGGTGATGAAGAAATAGCACATTCAGCACAGGAATGTATTGAGTCAAGTAATATTCACTAATAAAATTAAGCTTATAAATCTACCTAAGTGTAATTTAGATACCAAAAGACAATGACAAATAGACATTTCATTTAGCTGCTTCAGCAAAACACTTACTATATGTGCATCCATAGACTTCAATGCGCATTCCAATTCTGCCATTGGGATTCCAGTCCAAAGGCACAAAACGGAGAAATCTTGCTTCAATAGAATGCTGGAGCTTATAGTATACAACACTGTCTGCATTTGCATTTCCAGAAAAGGCCTAGGAAAAAAATATATATATATATCTACCGCTTATAAAGTGAATACAGAAATTTACGGAAGCATTGCAGATCCTTTCACCCTATGTCCTCATCTGTCAAACGGTTAAGCACAGGAATACATTTCTTTGTGCATAAATCCTCTCTAGTTTCCAGAGGAATAGCAAATCAATCAGTCTTTATTCTTCATCAGGACCACTGGTTTATCTATCTATCTGTTTAGAATTAAGACCACACGTATGAAAATATCTTCAAACTTCTAAAATTTAAATGAATGAAGTATTGCTTCAGAAGCAAACATTCCTCTGTCAAAGTATACAGAAAACTCCATTATTTCAACATATTGTACCATTTAATATTCTCTTTTAAAACAATAGTGCGAGCTCTATGATTTCTTCTTACGTTTCTTCTTAAAAAAAAAAAAAAATCTGTACAAGCTTGTATTTTAGACAAGCTGAATCCAAGATGTTCTCTTCATAATCATCGGCCATGATGTGGAAGGAGCCTGGCTTCCAGCTATAGAAGCAAGTGTATTATGAATAGATTTTAATTCAGAGTATTGTTGAAAAGAAACAACATTTAAAATATCATTTGTAGGCAAGAGATAAGAAAATATTTAAAAGAATATAGCTTTTTTTTTACAGAATTTAAACTGTAGTGTTAATTTTGTTTTCTTTACATAAGGAAAAGACAGATAAAAGGTAAAGAGCTTGGAACATTAATATAATGAGTGAACTTTGACATCCTAAAGATTGAATAATGTCTTCTGACTTTGATGGTATACATATATACGTTTTTCTCTTTGCCTGTTTGTGATATGTGTAGCAGAAATAAATTGTTCAAACATTTAAGGGCTTAAACACCTTATAGATTAGACAGAAATAGCTCTCTGAAATGCTTTGACTAGCAGAATTAAAGACTACACATTTCCAGATACATGAACAAAACTGCTGCTATATCTATCAACCACAGATTTTGGACTACAAGAGTGTGGAGAAACTAACTTAGCTGAGCAGCTTTTCTTTGCATAGATTTTGAAATGGTTTCTGAAGCCTTTATTGAATGCATTACTCACTCTCATACATATGAATTTTCCCATTTTTTGTCCCATACTAGTAATTTTCAAATACATTCTAATCTGAAAGTGTTCAATATGAAAAACAAAACAAAACACAAAAACAGTAGAGATAATGTTTGTTAGAGCAAACTTATTAAGCTAGTAATAAGCAATGACAGCTAGAGGCTCTAAATGTCCACCCCACTTTCAGCTTCATGTTTTTCTAAACTAACTATCCCTTCTGGTGAATTTGGAGACATCCTAAAAGAAGCACAGGAGGAATGGTGTTATTTTCAGGGTGAATCCCTACACATCTCCTCCTTTAAAATCCTTATTTGCAGTCTGAAAACAAATGTAACTGCTAGTGAATGTGCCAATTAGTTTGCTGACTGAACCAGAACCTGGGTCCCAGAAGTTTTAGCACTGTGAGAAATGAAAGGTTCAATTAAGATTCCTGAGACCATCTTCAGATGACAGCTGCCTCATGAAAATTAGTAGTCAAGTTTTGAGTATAGAATGCATATGGCCTGATTTTTTTCTGAAGGTGCACTTGAGCCATGTATTCTTAACTTAAAAGTTAGGCTTTCTGACTCCACTAACAGTCTAAAAGTAATTCAAACTGCTTTTCAAACCATTCAAAATGGTCACTTTAGAAATCTGTATTTTCTAGCTGCCATATTACAAAGCTTTTATAAAGAGGGCACAGATTCCAAAGCACATCAATTAAATATCAAACAGGAGTCATTGCTGGAATTTATACATTTTAAGGATTAAGATAGAGAGAGGTTTTCTGTTTGTTTGTTTGTTTGTTTTCCGGATTTATGCTTTTCACAAGAAAGAGAAAGAAAATGCAATCAGACAGTTTTACCTGTTGACAACCTATATGAAAGGCATTTCCAAAGCCTATGACAGTAAACAGTAGGCTTTTTGGAGAAGCAATACATCCCTGTATACACTTTACAGTCGAATACAACAAATATTTAATCATTAGAGGCACATAATAAGTTTCTTCCCATCCATATCCCTTCTTAAGACTATTTAGATGTTTTCATTTGCATGCTGTATCACTCATAGAGACCGTGCCACTATGCTGGATTATGCAGGAAGCAGAGTCCTCATAACCTGCATATATATCTGATAATTAAAAACATTCAGTATGACCCTTGGTTAGTACGAACATTGCAGATAATAAGCATTCTGTTTGCATAAATATTAATATTAATAAATGTAAAGCTGAACTCTCCAATAGAATTGCCTACTGAAACTTAGTTGTAACTCTTTTGTATACTATATGGCTTTTTTATACAAGAAAACATGCCATATTTCTTAAGGAATTTCTTTTTTCAGTCATGGAAACACTTTACCACAGTTTAGCCTTTACGAACACGCAGGGACACTCAGTAGCGCAGTCACAGAAATAAGCTTTTCATGTCCTAGTTTATGTCACAAAGGAGAAATATTAAATGCTTTACTGAATGTCAAAGAGCAAAGCAACAAAGTGTTTTTTTTTTTTTTAACCTCCCTTTTCAGTTTCATACCCCATTTACTGCAAGCTATTTTAACCCTACTTTGAAGACAGAATTATTCCATTTGTTATTGCATCAGAAATCACCCAAGAGCTGTAGACTGTAATAACAAACCAAAAGTCTCTGTGGAGAACAGCATCACCATGCTCAGAAAGGCTGTCAAGGCAAGCTTACATCAAGATAAATCTAAGAGGAAGTTCTTTATTTCTCTCTGCGTCATGCCTCATTCTATAAAATAAAGTGCAGAAAAGAAATGATGAATGTATGGTAATATTTCTAAAAGTACTTGCTGATATTCTTTATATAGGTCCTTATTAAAGAGTAATAATTTCAGTCTGGCACACTGGCTCAATAAAATTAAATGAAAGAATTTCCTTGCAAAAAGACTGTGATATATTCCATGTACTGATTTAAATCTAGAAAATACCAAGAATATAAATAAATATATAAAAATAAATACATAAAAATGTGTATGTGTAAATATATTTATGTATATATTTTAAATCACTCAAATAGAAAAAAAAAAAAAAATAAGACCACCAATTTAAGCTTACTTTTGGTATCTCCAGCTCCTTCATATAGTTTATGCATTTACTACTAAAATTAACACAAAAACATACCAAAGCTCATATGCTAGCTTAACTATTTACATCTATAAAACAAAAGAACTAACCAGGCACATAGTATAATTAATATCAATAAAATAATCATAGTTAAGGTCAATAAAATAGTGACTTCACAGAAATCCAACCAGTCACACTCTACCTCCTCATTGCATCACCACTGTGGGAAGTTATTTTCCAGCTTTTGAACAGCTGCCTTTTGTAGTCCGTCCTTGACTGACTAGAAGTTGACAAATGTTGCTGTTTATATAAAGTGAAAAAAATGAGTGTAAAAGTCCTTCAATCTGCTAAGAAAACATGGTATCAGACAAGCATCTCCTTTACTTGTTCTCCATTTTGGATTTATGACAGGGAAAAAATGACTTAAAGGATAAGATGATCAAGGATTATTTAGAGCTTTATTGGTTGTAATCAATATTTTATCTAAAAACTGACATATTTGTCAGCTATAATATACTGGCAGTGGTATCGTACTGAGAAACCCTTTCAGTAAGGGACATATATTTTTCAATATGTTTTGTCTTTGATCTGTTTGAAGATATAGTCACATTACAGTACACTAATCTTAACTGAAAAAACATGGTATTGCACATACTCATAAACCCTTCTGATCAGAAACTTCTTGAAATGGTAGGATGGTTCATGGTCAACCTAGAGAAAATTTGACTAAAAAGCAGACACAATCTCCACTGCTTGTCACATCTTCTGCTACCTCTGTAGCCTCCAAGTTTTAATGCATTTACATCATCTGCATCCTCAATAGTTGCATCAAAAGAAAAATAGCTGACTAGCGAGATCAGTAAGATGGAAGATATTTTGATGTCATGCACAAAGATGTCATGTTTGCTCTTTCTTTCAGTGGTATCCTCAATCTCTCAACTTCCTGAAATTGCAGTGGACTTTGGTTTCACTCTTTTCATTTTGTTTTAGTTTTGTACTATATCGATGTTTCTAACATTCTTGTTAAACAGATTTCAAATATATGTAGCATACTGGTTTCATCATCAAATGTTAATGGAGCAATTCAATTCACTACACTATTCTCTTTAAACACAATCCTATTTGAAAAATAGAAAACAACAACAAAAAAAAATCATTGAAACAGCAAATCCTCTGAAAGAAGAGATTTCAAAGACTGTTTCATCTGTAATAATATTATTCATTTTGTGTTTTCACGGTCCATTAAGAATATTTTAAGGAATACTTTTCAACACTATGTCTTAAATGTATTTTAATTTAGCATTTATTGCACCATAGTATTTGCCATTAAAACATAATTATTCTACCTTTAAAACAAGAATTCAAAATAGCATTCTTATAGCTTCTATCACTGAAAATACTACTGTTTTTTTTTTTTTCTGTACAGAAAATCATTTCACTTACTACAAGGAATACACATCTCATTTAATTGCTAGTCACCTCTTATTACCATTAAAATTACATACGATAAAAATGGACTATTGAGTACTCTTCAGAATGTTTCAAAACAGTATTTATTTTGAAACTGCATTACTAATGGTTTTATACATGATGAGCTAAAATATAGAGAAGGAATTTATTTAATTAAAGATTACATTGTCTTGGCTGTCTTGTGTGGCTTCTCTTCATAAGAAGTTACTAAGCTGTGTCTCTGCTCATTATAGAACACTGCTAAGTAAATTATTTTCATGTAATAGAGTGAAAAGCAAGAGGAGAGTGTAAACCTTCTGCAGAAATAAAACTAGCTAGTATATATGTTTGAAAATATTCAGCAACTCAAAAAATTCACTGAAATGCTCCAGAGCAACATAGCTTTT